GTTAAGTATTTTCATTTCCACAACCTTTGGGACAGAAGAAAGACTGCCACTGATCTCAAGCATGAGTTAAACAACCATGTACCAAATGACAGAAAAGTATCCAGATCTACATTATCAAGAAGACTCAATGAGAATGGAATATTTGGTAGTGTAGCCGTTAAAAAACCTTTACTTCGATCTCCAAATATTGTCAAGAGACTGAAATTTACTAAAAAATACAAAAACTGGACTGTTGATGATTGGAAAAGGGTGTTATGGATGGTTATACATTCAGCAGAAGAAAGGTGAAAGATACTTACCTCAATGCATAGCACCTACCATGAAGTATGGGGGAGGTAGTGTGATGGTTTGGGGGTGTTTTTCTGCTGAGGCAACAGAAGATATTTGCAAAATAGATGGAATAATGGACCAGTGCAAGTACCATTAGATACTGATCCTTCATGGTATACCCAGTGGTTTGCATATTATTGGTAAAGGATTCTACTACCAAGAAGATAATGATCCCAAACACTCATCCAAACTATGCAGAAATTACTTAGCTAAGAAAGAAGCTGCTGTAGTCATTCAAATGATGCAATGGCCCCCCACTGAGACCCGATCTCAACCCAATTGAGCAGATCTGGGACTTGATAGATCAAAAACTTGACAAATCAAAAGTTACTTCCAAAGAAACTTTATGGGAGTGTATTAGAGACATTTGGAGTAAAATCCCAAAGAAAACTGATTAAATATGTTGCAACAATGCCTGAAAGACTGAATAGTTATTAAAACAAATGGGGGTCACACAAAATATTAACTATTTGCTGAACTCAAGCACTTCCACTGAGTTTCTTTTGTACTAAATATGAAGATTAATAAAATTATGATGTTTCACCTGTGATTTACATTCCATTGTTCTTTGAAAGTAGCCTGAAATATAATTTTTGACTTTGTCCTAACACTTTTGCACAGTACTGTAGATCTCCCAGATAAACCACCAAAGGTGATAACACACCACCCAACACCAGAGTAGATTCCTATACTGAAGCAGCACTGTCACGAAACCTATATAACAAGAAAAATCAGTTGATGCAGATGGCAATCCTTCTGACATGTTATGAAAAGTAGTTGTGGCACCTGTAAGCCAGGCCTGCTGAGACTGAGATAGAGAGCCTCAGAAAGGTTCAAACTGACCTCAAGGTATCAATATCAGCCCTGGAGAACCTGCTGGCAAGGTTTAGGTGAGTGGAAGTGATAATTCAGAAGATCCCTGAAATAAGGGTGTATTTTGTAATATAGATGTAAAATATCATGGTTATTTTTAATTTTTTGCTGCAATTTAAGGGTGAATTCTGACCTCTGAATTCATGAGAGTATATAGAGGTTACAGATCTAACAATTTTAAAAGATATTTTTTTGCAATTTATCTTACTATTATTCAGTATGATTTTTCTATAATTTTTATTTAAAGTGCCCTCATGTCTCTGAAATCATAAGTGAAAGTAGAAAACATGAGACTTAGTGAAAGTTTTCGTCTTACTCCAGTGTTTTCATAATGTTACCCTCACTCCTTCACACTTTTTTATTATTAGTCTTGTCTCTAGTTGTGTGTGTGTGTATATATTGTAAGTCACCACTTGCTTGCACACGAGTTTGCACAAACAAAAAAGTTGTTAGTTTCATTTTGTCATTATTTTTGATACTATGGTGATTTTACTGTTTGAAGGGTTTGATTTTTGTATAAAGTTCCAGGGCTTTTGTTCATATGTTTGAGTTTTTAGTAAACAGTTAATCTTTTTTTCTTTCTTCTTGTCATGGGTTTAATTTTGTTGTGTATGGTTGATTTTAGTGGTGTTTACTAAATAAGAGACTGTTTTGTTGTACTGCTTTTTTCACAAGAGTGAGCAGCATAGCATTAATATACACCTTTGTAAAAGGCAATTTTCATGTTTATTTTTGGTGATGGGTATGATTTGTTTTCCCCTTTTTTTCATTGCTAAAAGTATTTTTGTCTTGGGTAATGTGTAATCTTGACTTTAAACTTAAAAAGAATTGATCACTATGTATGATTACGAGTCTCAATTCAAATGTTTATCTTATATGTTAATATCTTAAGGACTTCAAGATTAAGGTTAAAAGATTTTACTTATAAGTTTGCTTAAGGTTTTCTTATATTAGAATTGTGGTGACTTGCAGTTTAAATCAAAGTTAAATCTATTTTAATGATTGAAAGGCAATGTTGAAAAGCTTCATACTTGCATTTGAATCAATATTAAAGAGTTCTTATGCTTTTGTATTTATGAGTCTTTGTAAAAGGTTTTGTGTTGTCTATATGACATGTATGTGTTTTGGGGAACAAAGTAAGGTTAACATGATCCTTGATCAAGTTGCAAGTTATAAGTGTTGGTTTTAAAGAGAACAAGTCTGAGACAAAGAAAGGCGGAAAAGTATGATATTTGAGGACATATAATGGGTTTTCTACCTTCTCTATTGATATAAGAGTTTTTAAATTTTACTTTTTTATTACTCAGTTTCTGCACTGTCATAATGGCAACATGTGGTCCAGAAAATTGTTACCAATATTCTGTTCTAGTTGTTTCATTTATTTGTTCCCATTAGTGTGTGATGTTTTCTTTGCCCACAAAGATGTTTCAATATTATACAGAAAATCTAGGTTGAAGAGATTTGCATTGCAACATCCTTTGCTGACCAATAACAGGGAACAAAGAATGCAAGTTTACATATAAAATTTAAGCACCCATTCTTAGTTCAGTTTTCTACTAGATAATCTAAAAGGAAAACCTGTTTTTGGAGATCAGTGTGTTTAGTTCAATATCAATCAATCCAAAGAGAAAGAAAGTTGCAAGGCTAGATTCAATCTAGTGGAAAGGGCTGGTCCAGACAACTGCATAGGTATGCGCATAGCATTTTCTGTTTTATTTGTGAAGTAGGGATTTTATTCAGTATTTTAAAGTTGTCCAGACTTTTTATTCCACACTTAAAAATGAACTTAGTCCAATTATCTCATACAGTTACTCTTCTTAATTCCAGGTTGAATCTACTGTTATTTGTAGATCTGTCTTGTACTAGTAGAGAAATGGAGTTACTTTGAGAAGACCAAAATGGTATGATAATTACAAAATATCATTAAAACTCTCTATAATTTAAATGTTTGCTAGATTAATTGATAAACATTGACCTAATCAAGACTTCATATCATATAAATGGATTGATGATTCAAAAATGACATGGTTCTGTAACACTTAAAATTTCTCTTTTGAATCCTTTAAAAATTACGTACCAAATTACTTGATATCTCTTCTGGGACCACATCTCCAATATCAAACTTAAACTTTACATTCTTTCCCTTTGTGGACTCTAGCTGACACTCGACAACACTGCCCTCTTCAACACTCAACACTTTCAGTCTTGGGCCTCGGTCTTGAGTTTTCCGACGTTTCATAATTTTCTTGTGTGCCACTTGCTTTCCACAAGAATCTCTAAAGTCTCCTTGTTCTCTAATTAATTAATTATTTAAATTAATATTAAGTAATTTTGATTATTAATATAACTTATCACATAGAATTTTGATCATTTTAGACATTTTATGGTAGTTGAAAAGGAACATGATTAGTTTAAATATGGCAACTTTTAATGATGTAATGTATTATAAGAAACGTATGTTATTTATGTTCAAAATTCAATCATTGGATAAACATTTATATTCCTATGTCATAGCTGGTACAGCTATGAATTTTACCCTTCCATAAGTAATGTAGAATATATTAATGTAATTTTTTAAATTTTTGTGCAGATGTTCTGCAAGTAAAATTACATTGTTGTTAAACAAATACTAGGAGGCCATAAACATGTAATAATCATTTTACTCAGGCAAAGTTTGTATGTATATGCCTATGGCTAGAAAATCATATTAATTTAGCTTTGTGTCTATCCCTCCTAGAGAGAGAAAAGCCCATCTCAAAGGTTGACACAGATACTGGTACAAACTGGCATGAGTTAGATATTTTTCTCTCATAAATGTTAATTGGAATATCCAGTTACATATATATGTATATCATTGGATTCTGCTATACCGCACTTCAGCATTTTTGTCTGAATTTAGGCAATAAATAAGAATTATTTTCATATCTGTCCCTTGAAGATGAGGAAAAAGCCTTCCAGCCCCAGCAGCTAGTTTCAACACAAATGATGAAGAAGTAGGACAATCGATAAAAATATAAACACAATTCCTTTGAATAAAGTTTTGTTTTTATTTCTTTGTGTCTGTTTCTTTTGTTTAAACTAAGTTCTAGGTTATTCTCTGCAGTAAATTTGTGGAATCTGCATTTTTACAGATACTTTAAACTTATCTGTTAGACATCAGTATACCTGAATACCATACTTACACAATTAACAATTTATTTTAGATGAAAGCTGAAATTCAGCATACTTTAAACTTTTTCTGTTTAAGATGTTAATTTTCTGTATGGACCTTATATTGCAGATTTGACTCATTTTTGTTGCAATGGCCACAATATTTTACATTTTTCACAGCTATATTTATGGTAAACTACTGGAGACTATTTCATTTAATAAATGTTTTATTTTGATATCTAAGTTGTTCGGGTTTTTTCATCTAAAAAAAAAGTGACATTAATTTCTTGACCACCTAATACATATTTATTTATAAAGATTTTATTGGTATAAGCACCTTTGTTCAGGAACTGGTTGGATGCTGGCTAGTGAAAATGTGTGTTCCTGAAACAGAAAATTGAAAAAAAAATTACTACTTGATATAAACCTATGAGCTGTATGCTAAATACTTCACAAACATGACACCATTTGGCTTTAGGAAAAACAAATTTTTTCTTTACCGTATGATTAATAGATAGTATCATTTAGCCACAGTGCTTAATATATTGTAGTCAGGATAAAACTAGAATAGGGGTGTCAGATGCAATTACATTCAAAATTCCTTACTTCTTTAAAAAGATCTTACTAAACCCATTATTAAGCTATGGAAATAGAAAAATATGTTAAACAATTCACAAAACAAGCTCCAGTTGAACTGTTTAATGCTTTGTACACAATGAGCAACTCCCCTCTCCTACTAGGTCTATCTTAGAGCCCTGTCTAAAGTTGAGATCTGCAGTTAACACCAGCTAATTGTAAACTTAATAGTCAGATTATCTGTTGCAAAAAAAAAACATCTATATAGTTCAGTGTTTAGGATAAAACCCAACCATATGAATTTTTAGTATTTAAAAAAACAGCTTGTCTGTTTTAGAAAAATGAATTAGAAGCATCAATACTACATATTATTCAAATTCAACATAAATATAGGTCATGTTAATGAGTAAAAGACAACTCAAAACACCTATATGTAACCATTACTTTAAAATGTACAGAACTATTTCCAGTACAACAATCCATTCTTTTTTCTTTCTGCAGTTAACTTTACTGAACCCACAGAACATCCACGTATAAGAAAAGCTACAAAATACAAATAATAACACAAACAGTTAGGTTGACAGTCACAAAATCAAACACTTAGAACTATAATTTGTAATTTACTTGTTCTGCAGACTAGTATCTAAGATAAATGCTCAAATCTTATTTTTTTAACTTTATTAAATTTTATTCTCTTTACATAATAAATATATGTCTTTTACCATTTTTTAAACTACTTTCAATATCATCAAAATCTTTACAAAAAGGCACAAATATCATTTAAAAACTGCATCTTTTATAATCCTGTTCATGAACAACCAATGTACAAACAACAAAGTTGCCAAACTTTTATGTATAAAATGGTATTATACTTCAAACACAAGTATTTATGAAAAGGAACATATTAATATAGAAACCTTGCACTTAATGAAGAAACAATATCACTTGTTAAACTACAAGCAGTAACTTACTACACAAATCAATGACTTTTCTGATACAATTGTTATTACTAATTTGTTAGTGATGATTTCATATTGATTTTGAAATTACTTTCATTTATTTACGTCTTGTATCATTAATAATAAAAAAAAGGTTATTATATTGAAATAAATGCCATCTTGCAGTTAATTATTATGAACTAAGCAGTTTGCATTTGCGAAGCTGAGAAAACAAGAAATGCTATAATTACGTGTATATAAAAAATGAGTTGCAAAATCATTTAACAAAGTTTAAAATTTTGTTGGTTAGTTAGCATGATTTCACTAGGGGAAAATCTTGCCTTAATATCCTTTTGACATTCATTGAAGAATTTACTGCTTATGTAGATTAGGGTGTGGTGTGAATTTGGTGTATCTGTATATTCATAAACCATTTGAGAAGGTGCCACATAAAAGTCTTGTTAAAAAAAAATGATATCTGTAGGTGTGGAAGATAGGTTGGCTCATTGAATAGAAAACTTGTTGGATGGAAAAAAGCAGAGGATTGTTATTAGTGGAGTTCAGTCAAACTGGATTAATATCACAAGTGAATTATCTTTTTCGATTTATATCAATGAAATAGATGAAGGTATGGTTAATAAACTATTTAAAATTGGGTGTTGCTGCTGGCTGTGATGAGAACAATGCTCCTTTACAAAAGGATTTGATTATTTGGTCAGTCGAGCAAATAAATGGAAAATGGCTTTTAATTATAATAAATGCAAGATAATACATGTAGGATATCACAATGTAAATTATAAGTATAATTTTGATGAAAATACTCCTAACAATGTCAAAGGAGAAAAGAATCTTCATTTTCTGATTGCTCAGTGTCTTACGCCATCCAAGCAATGTGCTGATGCTAGTGGCAGAACAAATGTTATTTTATACTGTACTAAAGAGATATTGAATACCAGTCTAAAGAGGTTATAAAGTCATTGTACAGATTAGGCCAAATCTGGTGTATTGCATTCAGTCTTCAGCTCCTTACCTAAGGAAGGGCAATGAATTGTTAGAAAGGGTGCAGAGGAGGGCTGCTAGGATAATACCTAGATATCTGAAATTGTTGTCTCTTGAGAAAAAGAAGAAATAGAGGGGATTGTACGGAGGTGTTTAAGGTTGTTAAAGCAATAGTGTTGATACATTATCTTTTTTTTCATACTTAATGGTGAGAATAGTAGGACTGTGGGACACAAATATAAATTTTGTCAGGGTAGGAGTGGTTTTCAACTAAAAGAGCTTTATTTTTCTAACAAGGTGGTTGGCCTTTGGAATGGGTTGTTTTCAGATGTGGTAAATGCAGTTAATTAAGGGAGTTTAAAAGAAGGCTTGTTAAATATTTTAATGATTAGTGTTGGCTTTGAGTGTTATATAATTATTTTCAAGTTTAGTATTGTGGATTGGATGGCCTAAGTTAACCAACAGGTCCCTTGTTATCCTTAAGTAATATGTGTATTGTGCAGAATTTGGAATGCAACACTGTGAACCTTAATGACACAATGCCAGGGAGATTTTACATTTAACTGTGTCTGTATTTGTTGTGTATCTTGATTGTTGGAAAATAGGATTAACATTCTGAGAAGGTATGAAAGAAAATTCATAGATATGAAGTTACTGTTTCTCTCAACTAGTTACATCTACAGGAGGTCAACCATGATGTGCAACCTGAAAATAATTGATATATACTTATAATGCCTCAACATTCAAAATCCCCTCAGGAACCATTCAGATGTTTGATTAATCTTGCAGCTGTAAAATACCATCAGTTATTAGTTTGTAATCTTAACTGAAACACATAAAATTTGCTCATTTTGTAATGTTGTTAACCTAATCCAAAGCAACATTAACAGTAATCAGTTTGCAATTATATTAACCTTAAAAAGTTTGTAATAACCTTTGGTCAAAAGTAATCAAGTAATGAAACTGTTTTGTTTTCCTGGTGAAAGCTATGATTTTGCCAATAGATCTTATAATGTGTGTAGACTGAAATCATTGCTCCCAAGAGTAATGGAATTTTTTAATCTCTTTAGAGCACAGTTAAAAAGTCAGATAAATTACAATAGTTTAGAGATATCCTCTTTGAAGGCTACATGAATTATGTTTTGAACAACAAACATAGTTAGAAAAAGAAGAAGGCTTATGAAAACAGGCACCTGAGTGTAAACAAGCCCGGGACTAAGATAAATGCTAAATTTCTTGTTTCTTATGTATACTTATTGTTTATTGTTATATATTTTTAAGAAAAGTAACTAAATGTAATTTTTTTTATTTTTTAAATTATAAAATACAACTTAAATGAAGAAAACTTAAATAAATTTTTTGTGATCACTTCTGGAGAAACATACACTGACGTCATATGATGTAACCTGAAATTTTGTTTACCCTAAACTCTCTTCACTCCTGATTGTTTGTGGTAGTTCAAAGATTAGTAAAACAATAAAATTAAATGAAAGCAGTTATGAAAAGTTAAGAGATCTAAAACTTTTAAGATAAATAAATATAATTGTCTGTTACAATATGCAGTTATTATAGATAAAAAAAGGTATTTCCAATACTATTTCATATTTTTCAACGTTTACTACACATGATTTTGCTACAGATAGTGTTAAGGTAGAAAAAATAAGGTATAATATTGGATATACAAGACTATTTAACCTAAGTTATTATTTAGTTTATTTACTGATTTAATGTTTTATGATCATTTAGTTTTCATTGTGTCAAAAGTTAATTATTTTAAAAGCAAAAGTTATGACAAGTTTCATTATGTAGCTCTGTACAAGTCGTATGTTGTGTATGCAGTTTGATTGTTGATGTCATCTTACGCAAAGCTTATATGTTTTTCTTCTTATGTGAATATTATTGTCACTAGAGGGTAGATATTTCTAGATTTTTCTGTCACATGTTATAAATACATGCAGATACAGCATGCAAGTTAAGAAGTATGAAAGTAAGTTTGTGAAAGTAAAGTTAGATTGCATGATTGTCAATTTAGCCATAACAAGTGATTTATAAAGCAAGAATTTCACAGTTTGTATTGTAACAACAGAGATAAAGAAGAAGAATTTGTCATGTCAAAAGGTGTTCTATAGTAAATGAACAGCTGTAGTGGTGGCAGAAATATTGAAGTTTACAACCATACTATTTAACCATGTCAATAGATTTTGATAAATGGATAGAAAGAGGTGAGCATCTTGGGCTAAAAGTGGTCTATGAGAGTTTGTTAAACAACAACAAGATCTAAAGAGAGAAGAGCATCAGAGAATAGGGGAAGAAAGAGAAAGATAAAAAGTAGAAAAAGAGAAAAGAGAGACTGGAAATAGAAGAGGATAAGAGCACACAGAGAAATAAGAAAAGGAAATAGAAGAGGAGAAAAGAGAGACTGGAAAGAGAAAGAATAAGAGTACAAATTGTGAAAGAAGGAGAGAGAGAGAGAGGAAAGACTGAAAACAGAGAGAATTAAAGCTCAAACTAAGATTGTCAAGCTCACTCAACAGAAAAACGAAGGACCTAAGAATGACAATGGGGTCAAAACCAGTCGACCCAAACTACTTAAATTTCATGAACAGAAAGACAACATGGATGTTTTCCTGGATAGATATGAAGGATTCGACAAAAGTCAAAACTGGAACAAAGGCAAGTGGGTAGTCTGTCTCAGCCCACCTCTAACAGAGGAAGGCCTACAAGTGTATGCAAGCATAATGTTAGAAGATGCCATGGACTTTGACAAGTTAAAATAGGCTTTGTTGAAACATTATGAACTTAATGATAGAAATTCAGACAAGTCAAACATGACATTGGAGAAACTGTATTTCAGTTTGTAGCACATCCACA